AAGAAGAAGAAGAAGGGGAAGAGGAAGGGGAAGGGGATTTTAAGAAGAAGAAGAGGAAGGGGAATCGGAAGACGAAGAGACCCTTTTGAAGATATGGGGAGCCACTGGAGGTTTATTCTACAAGGACTATATCCACGAAATTATCTCATCAGCCTCGGTCCCCCCCCCCCCCCCCCCCTTTTTTTTTTCGCCTTCTCAACGCGTCCCTTTGTAGAAAACATCAGTCAACTCCTGTGACTCCAGCCTCGCGCCGCACCTTTTACTTACCACCTACCCTCCTCTACTTCATTGGAAATATCTCCCTCCGCTCCGGATTAAATAACGCCTTACTCATCACCCACCAAACCCTCTCTCTATGTCCCTGCAGCCCGCAGCACTAGCTCCCACAGCGCATCTGCCCATCGCCATGCAAGATCTCAAGAATGTCCAGGTCCAGGTATGCGCATCGGAAACCAGATTGGAGCTGTTGGTTTGATTGGTTGATTGACTGATTTGATTGATGGAATCCAATCCAATCCAATCTACGCCTCCTGTCACTTCGCCACTTTTTCTCCTCTCCTCCTCCCACTCTTACTCCCCTCCCCACCCACCCCTCACCTGTTTAATTCGTTCAATCCCTCAACAACCCATAGTCATATATGTTATCATTCTGCTGTACTCTTCTTCTTCCTTTCTCTGCCTCCTGTCTCCCTCTTTATCTCTTGCAACCTTTACTCCTTGAATTGTATGATTGCTCACTGACAATCTCGCTGTGCAACAGGACCATGCTGATCAAGGCAAGCTACTTACTCTCTCTCTCTCTCTCTCTCCCCCCCCTCCCCGCTCTCCATAGTCAACTTCCCCAAAATACACCATACTTCCTTAGACTAACTTCATCCCAGTCCTCCATGACCAGCTCCTGGCCGCCCAACACCTCCATCAAGCCCACCACGCGCCGCCTCCACCCCGTCCCACCCCCGGCGCAACAGCTACCCACCTCCCGTCCTCCTCCGCCAATCCCCGTGACCAGAATAACATCACCATCGATCCCGCTATCGCCGGCCCCTCCGCCATGCTTCACATCACTGCAAACCCCCAACAGCCCTCCGATCCTGTCGGGACTCAGGATGACCACACCGCCGAAGGGCGCAAGACATATGGCAAACGCGAGCTGTCGACTTCGAAGCGCGCGGCGCAGAATCGTGCTGCTCAGGTACGTATATTCCACATCACACCATACATATAATCATACAACAATACACCCACCCTTCACGTATCACTGGGCAGAAAGCAATCCATAGCTAACATCAACCCCAACAAACGGGGAGGGGAAAATAGCGCGCCTTCCGCCAACGTAAAGAAGGTTACATCCGCAAACTAGAAGAACAAGTAAAAGACTACGAACTCCTCGTCGAAAACTACAAAGCCATCCAGGCCGAAAACTACCAGCTGCGCGAATACATCATCTCCCTCCAATCCCGCCTCATCGACTCCCAAAACGAAGTCCCAGAGCTCCCCGGCAACATCGACCTCTCCCAACCCCGCAACGACCCCCCCGCCCCCGTCGTTCCGGGTGCCGCTAGCTCTGCAGCTGCAGCCGCCGCCGCCGCCGCCGCCGCCGCTGCCGCTGCCGCTGCTGCTGCCACTGGCGCTGCTCCTGCTGGTATCCCGACTGCGACTCCTGCAGATCAACCTGAGCAGGTTAATGCGCTGAATCGCATTGCGGTGGCTGGGTTGGGGATGCGGAAGCACCAGCACGATGAGGCGGCATTTTTAAGTGCTGGGAATGCGGCGGCTGCTGGTGCTGGTGCTGCGGGAAACAATGGGAGTGTGGGGGTTGCGATGGGGGTGGGGGTGACTGGGGGCGCGGAGTTGCCGTCCAAGCGGATTCGGTTTGAGGGGTTGTCGGATGCGGCGGAGCAGGGGAAGGTGGGGATATTCCTGCTTCGTGAGGGTGTTTGGGGAGGATTTTTGCTTTTATTATTCTATCTCTCTGTCTTTAACATGGAGAGGGGGGGGGTCATATATACCTTGATCTTTTGCTTTTTT